GTCGCAATAGCGACGTCGACGTTTCTCTCTTCTTGTTGCTTTGTCTGTGCGTGGCCGTTTAATTTCGACCAAAAGAGGAAACGTGCACCAGTCTGGTAATTAACGAGCCGTTAATTGGCTGCACGTTGTTACCGATTCCACTTTCGTTCCTCGTTTCTCGGTATCCATCGATCGAATTAGGCCTGACGCTAAACGAGCGATGAGACTTTCATGGAATTTTGCATCAACGACACTGTGCTATTTAACAGATTTATAATCTTAACGCAGCGGATATATTCAAATTTCATTTATTGTGACGAAATTTTCGTGAGTGCCAAGTGGAATGCATAACCTGGCGTGAAATGTGGAATGTGAACATCTGTGAATGTGGATTTCTGTTATATAGACGAAAAATTATAGGTAATAGGGAAAATTAGAGAGTTTTTATTAAAATGGAATTCTACTGTACTGCAATACACATGAGGATAAAATCTTGTTATTGTAACAGTCTCGTGCGCGTTGTATTACTGGAAATATAAACATGTTAAATTACATAATACCATTTGATGTAAAATTAGAGATACTTGTCAGATTTAACTGATTTACATTTATAATAGCGGGGTCTCACATCTCTGTGCATTGTACTGTTATAAATATCTAGATATATATAAAATTGTCGTATCATACATTGTCAGTGTCCACTAATGCTAAATTCCAATGACGTTGCATCGTTCTTTTGCATTGGGCGTGAGTGTTTCAGAAGGAAAAAAGTAAGAAAAGACAGGGAGATACACTGGCGTGAAAAAGTAGCTGATTATCTTTCGCAAAATTTCCTACAAATTTGATGCATAATCTGTCTTAATAATAGATAAGGCACTCGATAGCACTTTAATATGACCTAGGTGGAAACCACATTCTTTAGCTTAGAAAGTTGATATATTTTTAAAAAAAGAGGTATTATCTACAAAGTTTTGAAAAAAAGGGTACAAATAACGCAATATCCAAAAATTGTTTCAAGACAGCCGATAGAAACAGACATATAATTCGAAATCCAAGATAATTTTCGAAATATGATACTGATTGAGATATATATTAAAATTAAAACATTGATCCTATGCAAAAAATTTTAGTAAAAATAACTTGTCATGTTTTTCAAATAAAGGCTACTTTTATGATACATTTTTATATCTAACGCTAGTCGAAACATCTGTAATTTTATTCTTTCAAGAAAAAGTGTAAAATTTGCCAAATCAGAGGCTTTTGCACGCCACTGCTGTTGATTTTCAATTTTCTTTTAGTACAGACCAGCTGAGAAAAAATATTTAAGATCAGAACATCGATATTATAATTTAACATGCAATTTATGGTTGTCAAAAAGGCGGTGTGAAACTGGAAAAGTGTTAGTTTGAGTAACTGATTTTGTAGCTGGGATATAAAATTCGTGGAGGAGCTTAATTTCAAATACCCTTTAGATAAATGAATCATGCTACTTAAGGAAGGAGTTAGAGAGGATTATCCCACTCGATATGGTTCTTATACTGGGCTCGCTTAAATGCTTAGTAATTTAGAGATTTGGTCAAGTATTTAATCCTTCTAGAGGGAAAATTTCATTAGTCAATGCATATAGTGGAATAGATTAACATTACTTCATATGCAGCAATGTAATTCGTAGTACAATGCAACACTCGGGCATTCTTTGTGAATAAATTGTGTTTATTTGAAGAGATTACGACTTCTGCTACTGACGCACATATAATTATAATTTATATACTTTATCCATACAAAATAACTATTACCACAAAAAGTTATTAATGCAACAATGAATATTCAAAAAAGAAAAGAAAAGAATTTACTTCGATACTTTTTTACATTTAAATGGAGAATCGTTTTATATGCTTCTGTTACAAATTCTGATCTACAGAGGTTTATACTTCTACTACACTAAATTATTTCTCAGAATCTCCAATTACAAACTACATCTACATTAAAGCATTGCTTTTTGAAATTTGATGTAGGCTTTTTAACGTTTCTTTCGCTTAGCATACGAAGCGTGAAACGAAACTTAACACTATACTTTTCTCAATTTCCTTCTTAATCGAGGGGGACTCATTTAGCTGGTCTGTACTTTCTTCAGTTATTACATCCTCTGCAGGTTTGCGGACGTTTCAGCTAACAGGAAACAGCGAAAGGGAGTCTCAAATCAAACATTCACAGCGTAACGGACAAACGATATTGACAGAGGACCCGGGGAATAACAAAAGATGCTCAACTGACTTTACTTGGCCAGACAGGAAATTCGTCAAATCAACATCGGCGAGCAGCATGATTTTAATAATAATACGATTCTACGTCTAAGGTATCTACAAAAAGATAAATAAACTAGAGAACCTGTTGCAAACAACCTCGAGCCTTTGACTTGAAACAAAAATGTCAAATCGGGGCAAGGAAAATTGAGAAATTGGCTCTTCGAAATTAAAATTTTTACCAATTGTTGAAAGGATGTTCGTTCTGCTGGAATTATTATATATTATTTTTATATTTAGTAATTTAGGTTATTTCATCAATTGAGCCAAAAAGATATCAATTTTCAGTTTAAAAAAGAATAACTAACGAATATCTAGAAATTTTGTATAAGTGTACAAATACATTCAGCGGTGACTTTAAGTCATACACGAGAAGATTTTAATTACAAGTTTGATCTAATTACAAAGTGAATTAATTCGAATAAAGGAGCGGAAATCTTCCTGGAATGTTTCGCTCATTTGCTTCATTTAATTAACAGCCATGAAAATCGAGAAATGTTTGAAAGCCAGTTTCCTTTGTTATTTTTTGTGCTTCGATTTTGATATCTGTAGGCAGCTTTTCATACTAGTCGCACAGCGCTAAATTCAATGAAACCGAGTTCCATTCGTTTCAATGTTCCAAAGCGTTAAAAATTAACATTCAAACAAGCCAATAAATTTTCAATTGTTTATATCTTTCTAATCGTTTTGGCTCATCATAGTGCCATATATTTGTCATAATATTGTATTAATTTCTAACTAATAATTAATTAATAGATACTATTAATTCATAGATAATCAGAATAAGTTAGGTTACTTCATTTTTGTATATTTAATTTTATTCTATATCTTATGCAATAAAAATTATAAATAAGACTCTATTGTTTAGATATAGAGAAAAAAATTAAATTAAGCAACTTAACCTAAATTATTCCAGTCAATTACTCAAAGGTATAAATTAAGTATACTAAATAATCGAGCAGAACAAAACATCCTATCCTCATTTCTCTCGTAGGCGATTACGCTTTGATCGTAAATAAATTCAAAAAGTTCAATCGCAGTAAGTACAGTCGGTTTTCAGAAAATCAACTACTTTCGTCGATCAGTAACAATGATTAAAATCTATTATTCGATTTGTCTTTCATATTCATAAATTTAAAACAACTTCCAACTATTAGAAATCGCATAATAAATCTGCCTTGAACAAAACAGCCGTTCAGATTATTCAAGATTTGCAGGTGGAAATCCACGAAATTGTCTTAGAGAAGTGTCTAACGTTGCATCAACCCTGTGATGTAGTATATGTAGTATATTACCGAGGTTGGCGGAACGTTTTCGAAAATACAGTAGATTTTGCACCTGAAAGCTTGGAACAGTCTGAACCGTAATAATTCGGTCTGTAAGAGCCTGGATTCTCAATATAACAGGCAATAGTGGGAACACAGGGAGATGTCTTGAGGTTGCTCGATTTTCCATCCGACTGTTCTTACAAGCACTCGCTACCTTCTCCACGTTTTCTTTAGAAAAACCAACAGAAGCTTTCGGTATACACGACCAGAGTTAATATATACGTATATATATGTATAACGATCTAGAATCGCTCATTCAACTTGTCGCAACGCAGTTTGTACGCGTTCCAAGTATATATATATTTTTTTATTTTTCAACAAAGAGTTATTTTGCGGGTGTCGTGTGTATTCGGTAGTCGTTGATGAGTTCATTTAATAAGTACTTACGATGCCCTATATGACATGCAGAGTCCAATAGAGACATGCAAAGCACCACAGAATAACATCATTGAGTCAATATAAGAGTAATAAACACATGTACACAATTGATAGAGAAAATTCGAATCAGCTATTTAAAACTTTTTCTTTTCACTCTTTTCTTTTTTCATTGAGTCGAGTGAGAGTAAATGGGAATTTCCGCATTTTCCAGTTGGTCTGGAAAGGAAATACTAATCTACCTTGTGTTTCTTCCTTCGAACAGCGATAGTGGCTATATATACGTGGTGTCCATTTTATTTGGACAGAGATCTGTGAACGTTAACGCGTTCAATCTGGCGTGGTTCAACCGCGAGTTGAACATTGTTCACGTATTTTTAGTTCTAGGGTGTTTCTAAGTTAGGAAGCGGCGTAAGTCTGATTAAGACTTGAAACACACTATCAAAATTGCATTAGAAACTCAATACAATCTTGTAATTGAAATTTGATAAGCAGACGCGAACTAAACATTCTGTATCGCTTCAAGTATCTTGCAGCTCTAACAGCTTCTAAAACATTAAGTTTCGTTCATTCGTAATCTGTAAAAAATACTGTACCTTGTAGACCATCGACAACTTCAGTTAGATATAACTAAATATTTTCGCACGTAAACAGAAGAATTCGAACAAAGAACGAAATCTGGATTAAAATTCGGGCACAATTAACTCATGTCACATTCACACGCCGGCTTGAACGCGTTAGAAACAAAACAAAGAAGGAAGTAAAATTTCATTAACAAACATACAGACTATCAATTAAGTCGAATTAGGAAAGAAGAAACCGAGTAAACAAATTAGGAAAGACGTACAATGGCTTGCAAAAGTTCTTGAGCTTCCTCAGATTGAAATTTTCGAAAAAACGATTTGAATAACGAAATTACGAAATTTGAAGTAGATTTAAGTAAACATGTTTGAGTAAACGAAAATGCTTTTATTAAATTTTCCAAATATTCTCTTATTTTGCAAAAAAAAGAACTGGAATCAAATATTCAAAATTATAAAAAGTCATCGAACTGCATGACCATTACCATGGTTACCAGGTCACCAGGTGCTCGAATACTTTCGCGAGCTATTGTAGATCTGATCAAAATCGATCGACCCCTCGTCTCTCAAAGGAGAGGGTCGTTGAATTATCAGCGATGTCCGGCGAATAATTGAAATTTTAATCGAATCGTTCGTTGTGTCGGTTTCGAGCGTGTTCGCAACGCGAACTAAAAGAAAGGAAAAAGGGAGAAAATGAAACTAAAAAAGGAAAAGAAACGATTATAGAATGATAGCGAACGACAGGGGTTACAGTGTAATTGCTCCCGTTTCTTTTGTCTTGCTTCGCTACAGGAGAACACCGCGCGTTAATGTTGGTGTAATAGAGATCGGACACATGGCCGATAGTAATTTAATATCGGCGTGCAATTAAACGCTCGGCTGCCGGTAATCGTGCCGATGAAAATCGTTATCGCGATAATAACCAGCACGATTAAATAGATTACTCGCCTTGTGCTTAGTAGTAGCAACGACACGGCGCTAATATCGTCGTCGCACGAAAATTACAGAAACTGGACGTCCAGCTGAAAATTTTTTCTCCCGCGTCGTTTCGAATAACGCGCGCGCGCGAAACCGCTTATCGAACGACGATTACTCACGGCCACGATTCTGTCGCGTTCTGCAACGTACAGTCGGTGGAAGAGATATGGCGTTGTCGTAAATTAAGCGAGGCGTGAACAAAGATACGCTTAAGTGGTTCAGATAAATTGAAATAAAAAAAGAAACAAAAAAAAAAGGAAAGAAGACAATGGAAATATAGAAATTATATGGCAGTTTCTTGTATTGTTTGGGATCCGTCGAATGTTGTGATCAGACCTTGTTTATATCGTGTTGGGAATTAAAACAGTGGTAAATGGAATAATTTCGAATATGGAAATAATATTTCATTTGGAACTGAATTGAAAAATAATATTGCGCGAGCAAACATTTATTTAAATTGTCTAAAGAATATTTGTTTAATTTGTTCGACAAATTAACTGAATGTAGTTCATACTAGAATGGAGAGAAATACTGATAAAAAGTTAATGATAATTTTTTACTTAAGAAATTGAAAGAAGACACTAAGTTTAGAATTAGGTACGTAACGTTCGATGACAAGATATTTGTAAATTGAACTGCGTTTGATATGTCGTAATTCAGGGAACGCACAATCCAACATGGAAATTTTTTTCTTTATTAAATTCGTTTACTATTTTCAGATTTCTTTTTTCTTTTTGAGTGTGAACGTGTCGTTCGCGAACTATATCAAGTCGTGACATTCACGGCCTAGTCACGCAAGGGGTAAAATCAATTTCTATTGGAAGAGAAATAGATATATGAAAAATTGTTTCAAAAGGAGAAAAGCACAAATAATTCTAGAACTATAAATAAAAAAATTTTAGAAAGTTGCTAACAATATACGTATTTAAAATGTTCCTTCTTGTAATCAGTAAAATATAATAATTGTGAAGTTATGAATTAAAATAGTAAAAATAACACAAATAATCTATTTCGCAAAAATCCATTAAAGTTACCATACCACCTCTACCGACTATATAGGAAATTCAAATGCTTTTTTAATATTTTGGTTGCTAAATACACATGCAAACTTTTGTTATTATTTCATTTATGAATCATTTTTCTCTATAGATAATTGTATTTCATTAATGAAAAAAATCTTGTATTTAATATCTGGAAAAATAACTTTCTTCATTCGTGTTCTTCGAGAACTCATCGATGTAACCCCTTACACTTCGTTCAGTACAAATTATAAAAAATAAAGTATTAAAAAAGGAAAGGAACCAAAACTCATCTCAATTCCTAAATCCCGTGTTCAAGATTGTCAAAAAACAAAAAACAACGTTTGATCAACAGTGGTCAAGTGGCCTTGAATACACTCTCGTTAAACATTTAATCTCTGCAAGAAACCCTAGAAACTGAATCAGATTAAACGCTATTTGTTCGATCGGCGTAAGATGTCTTCTCAGTCTGTAACTGTTCTATCATATTTTATATTAACTGTTGCGGTCGGAGGTTTGTCAACCCGACGAAAAATCCTGTAAACAGTTGTATACTACATAAAAATATGATTACTCTCGAAGATCACATCGTAACCCCGCGGACGAGATCGGCCGAGTGACGATCAATCTTCTCGATAACATCGTTACTCTCGAAAAATTTTTCGCGTTACACGTACTCATGCGTAGATAGAGATTCGTTCGGACGTATAATATCCGGCATGGATTTAAAACGAGCAACCCGTAGCCGGAAAACGAATCTCAGATGCGGAATCGGCCTCTCGGGGACCGGAAAAACGTTTTAACTCGATGAAATCGCGTCACGATTGAGTTTTCCTTTTCTCGATCTTTGCGTCTTTTCAACGCCATTTCGACACAGTGTCGAAAACCGGAAACCGACGAGTGCACGAGAAATAAATTCACGAGAAAATGGTTGCAAGCATTCAGTTGCAAGAAGATGGTGCGTCGATCGACCGACATTTTCTTGTCCCGACATTTCGTGTTATTCGTATATAGATCGATCGCACTTCTTTCATCGAAAACGTCACGAATGTGATCTCGAAACGATATATATAAATCTTCGCTGAATTGTTGATTCTTTCTTTCTTCTTTTCTCTTTTCTTTTTTTTTTTTATATCTTGTAAAGTAATAAAATTAAGCTATGAATTATCTAACGTACTTTATGATAATAGTCTTACGTAGTCTATATTTAGCGATAGATCAGGCGTGATGAGATGATTCAAAAAGGTATGAATGGCAACAGCGTTCATGATATCGAATGCACTGATTCATGTCTCATGATATATCGTGGCTAATGCCGTTCTGTGAATGTCACGAGGGCTATGCTTCTCTATTCATGACTGTGTCGACGTACGATCTCCGCGATTCGTCGACCAAACACATCAGTGTACCGGTGCTCTCGTCCTTGGCAACATGCGACATTCAAAGGGAGCTAACAGTCAGTAGCTAGCAGTGCAACGTGCAGTGCGTATTCTCGCTAGACACTGGCGATTTACAAGGAAGATTTCATTCACTCGACAAGTCATATTATTCGTATCATTTCTTCAGATTGAAACTCGATTTTTAACACTTTCTATTCGCGTTGCAAGCAGCAACAGATTCGAGATCCTAAGGGCACTTGGGTGTTGTGTTGGATCGTTCCTTAATCAAATATTCTGCATATAAGGTATTGGTACCGTGAGTGTAAAATTGGCCCTGTTGCAAGTCACTTTTCTTTGTAATCTTTTTTAAACAGAGCTAGAATTTTGTTTTCGTGTATTATATGATTCGACCACTGTCATTTTTGTTAAAACTGCTCTAGGAAAAAGAAGAACTAATTAATATAGATATAAGTAAATTCAAAACTAATCTAGAAATTTTTAAAATTTGAAGATTGATAGTGTGTTTTTTTGTTTAGCAAAGTTTTCATACCCAAAATTATATCTCTGTTTTATTAGTATCGACAAGCTCGACTTGCAACGTTCCAGGTAATCTTGCACAGTACGTATATACACAAAATGGAATATAGGAAATTATATTGAAATTATTATTCGACAAGGGGAATGTAGTTTAAAGCGTCATAATTGCTGCTACAGTTCGGATCTACCATAAACTATAATATTTAATATATAAAAACGGGTTATATGTTTTACAGAAAAAAAGTAACTTGTAGTTGACAATTAAGTGTTATCTCTTAGACAAAAAAAGGTTGTCAAAATTGCGATCATATGTAGGTAGATAGTAGAAGGCAATGTACAAAGCGCGTGAGTAAAAAAGAAAGGGAAGAGAATAATGTGAGAAAAGTCTCTTTTAGCGAAGCAGAACTATACCGATCGCCAGATCGAAACTTATTCTCTTATTTATGGCTGGTTTGTGTTAAAAGGCTTCCCTTCACCAGCAAATCTTCCTTGCAAGGAACCACGGTGCATTTTTCAGGCAATAG